TACATGTTAGTACCGGCAACTGTGCTTGTCTCTGAGCAAGTTCAGGTCGTCTTCAAGGTAAGTTAAGGTGTAGAAAGTGTTTCTTGGTTCATTGTTCCTGCACATCTCGATGCCAAGCTACTTTGGCCGGTGCACTCATGCTACTGGCAGCGAGCGAGATGATGGATAGGAAACAATGGAAGAAATCAGAATGCCAGCACAGAACTTAACCGGTGTCCCCAGACCCTGTTTTTCCGGGCATACTGTGTGCACAGGTGTGGCATATCTGAACTCCAGCATCATTAGTGATGGAGGTTCCCGTAAAGCCAGGTATCCGTGGCCCGTCACATACAAGATTTGAAGATTTCCGGATCGATTGCAAACGTCGATGAAACTAATTGCAGCAAGCTGCGTCGCTGGATTGTTGGTGATGGTCAGAGCAGCAGCACCTCCATATTGTACTCGCTTGACATGAGCCTGACAGGCTCTACTCGGTGGGCCGTGGTCACTGTCTTGGAGCTCAGGGCTTGTGGGTCTTCGGAGGTTCTGAGCCTCTACTAGGTTTCAGATTCGTTTGCCCGCAAACGCAACTCCTGAGCTCGTGGGTCTGCGAGCCGCGAGGAGCTGGTGGCTTCCTTGGCGGTAGCCATCACAGTGGCTTAGCCTCATTGGAATCCTCAACGACGGGTTTCGGGTTTCTGCTTCTGGAGAGATCCTCTGCAGACCGTGTCGCGGCATCGCATATTCTGCCAGTTCTACACTTTCTATCCTTTGCCACAATGCTTGAGCTGCATCAATGTCCCTGACGTTCCAGAAGCTCGCCATGAGGTGCTGGACCTTGGGAAGATCCTGGGGGTCGTTGGCGCGACAGGGTCGACGATGGTGTCGTGCGCGGTTTGTGATCCTAGTTTTTTCGCTGCTCTGTTTATGGTTTTTCCTGCTGCGGCCATTACTACCTTTACCAGTACTGCAAGCTGCCGCTACCCCGAGGCAGCCGAGGACGACGAGTACCACTACCGCTGCCATTACCACTGCCACCACTGCTGCTGCTATTACCGCCACAAGACAAGACCGATTGCGTTGACGAAGATTTCTATGCGGAACAGGAGCAGGAGCAGCAGCAGCAGCAGTGGCAGCAGCACTAGCTCACTAGCATAAATAGCAGTGAGAGTAGGAATAGTAGAGCAGTAGTGTAGTAGTCGTCGTCGTCGTAGTAGCAGCAGCAGCGGCAGCAGTAGAGAGTTGGTCTAATTACTTCTGAAGCTGGTAGTGAGCGAACAGCGGTTTTGCTTTGTCATGGTACAGCTGCAGATCATGAGGACGATGATCGTGATGACCGCAACCAAGATGGTCAAACTGATGCCCATGATGTCTGACGTCGCGCTGGTAGTTATGATGTTAATCCTACTCCTACCTACTGATAAGCAGGAGAACATCGGTGATGGGGTATTGAAGAAGGGTGCGACGTAATGTTGCCTGGTTTCTGCTAGACAATGCAGATGGCAGCAGTACTGCAGCAGCTGCTGGCTGCTGCTTGTGCTGCTGATGAAGACATTCGTGATGAGGACCTGTGATGTGGCTGTCTGTGCGAGGAGACTAACAGGAGCCAGGACAGGTTGTCAAAGTGCAGAAGACAGTGCAGGTACATACTGCCTGGACTGGTTTATTCCCAGGCGGTGGCTGTCTGCTGTCCTTCCTCGGACACTTCCGGAAGACTGTACACAGACTTTCCTCTGCGGAGATCGTCATGTGCACCTTCACAAATTCTGACAACTCTTTGCATCAGATGCACAGTCCCGCTTACACAGTGTAGTGTCATGGGAGCGGCTTCCTGCCGCCCTCCCAATCGCTGTGCTGTGTGCAGGCCTTTCCTCACTTTCACGCCAAGCGCGGGCTTGCAATTGGTATGCTCCTGCTAGGCCTGCACTCTGTGGGACCGGGGTTGTCAGGAGCCGTTTCATTGGGAGCGTTGGTGTGAGAGGCGGAGGGTCCGAAGGCCGGTCGACGAACGTCTTTGACAGTTTACAGTCGTAAACATGCATCTTGCTGCCACCACTGACGTAGCACCGCTGCAAAGGCCCATCCGGGAAAGCAAGAGTTCATGAGTTCTCGCATTTCTCAACTCCTTTCGGCAGCTCCTTCGTAGCTCAGCCTCAAAACCAAGTCAAGGACACTTCAGGACACATTACCAAGTCTCTACCTACTTTGCGTGTGCGGATGCAATGCGAGGTTGCGCCATCATGCCGACATGCCTGACTTTGATCTTCCTTTGACGCGGGCAGGCCTCATGCCGAGCTTGTGTGATAGCATAGTGTGCAGGCGCAATCAGGCGTGGAGGTCTTACTGGACCTCTAAGAGATGTCTTGCTAATTTCCCAGCTGTCACACATGTGGCGGTAGCACAGCAGGGGCTTCTCAGTTCCCTCGTGTCACCCTGGGTCAGGGATGCCCTTTTTTCTACGCATCGGACCCCTTTTTGAGCAAGGTTTTAAAACCTGAGCACGAAGAAATGTACACGTGCACCATTCAAATTCAACAAGGCAGTCTGACTCTCGATCGACGTGTTTACCTTGGTTTTTCGTCATGTGTGCTATACACATATTAGCACATGCACGAATTTATATGTACACAGGTGCAGAAGATTTGTGGATTTAGCTTAGATATGTTTGCCTTCAAACTTGTCTGCAGACACCTATATGTTGGCCGTGATCAAAGGTGCTGTTCAGACAGTGAATGAGCCGCGCGAAAGCAATGCCCGAAGTGACATTCACCGTTTCACAGTAGGCATTACAGAGAAGCCAGTTGGACAGCAGGTCTACAGCCTCGTGTATAGATTAAGAACTCGCTCAAGCTCATGGGGTTGGCCCGGGAATGCCAGAAGCGAAGCAGCAGGACCTCGGTCCTTTCACCCCTCGATTTTGGCCACAAACCGAGAGGTGAAGGAAGGCCGCGGTCCTTTCACCCTTCTGTTTTGCTCACGAGCCGGGAGGTGAAGGAAGGCCGTGCTCCTTTCACCCCGCTGTTTTGGCCACAAACCGAGAGGTGAAGGAAGGCCGAAACGTACATACATACGTACGTAAGTACATGTATGCATTGGTTCATGCACGCATACATGCATACATACATACATACATACATACATACATACATACATATACGCACATTTATGCATGCATGCTAACACATAATTACACATATGAACATATTCATGTAAACGTACATGTACGCATCACTTACACAAATGAACATGTACGTGGATTCACATTTACACAACTGCACGTATAGACTCATAACTCCAACTGTCTTAGGCCTTTGCTGGGACTTCCATGCACAGGATC